TTCTTTTCGCTTTTCACTTCTATGAATTTATGCATTTGAAATACCCAGAATTTATTAGATTTGGAATCCATTGATGCCAAGTTTTAGCTGGTAATCTTTCTTATAGAACATCAAAACTTGAGTCTAATATTTTGGAATTTGTTTTAGAACAATTTCTCAGTTTTTTATCATTTAATTCCCAGTGAAATTTTAGTCTATGTTGTGTTTCTGCTGTACACACCAACAGAAAGCTCATGAAACTTCGTTTTCCAGATCAAGTGACACAGTTTGATAGTCCAGCAAGGTTATTAGATGACAAGTCTTCCATGTTTCTTAAGTTGGTGTCAGAGTACTCATCTAGATCAACTAGTGCTCTTTGCATAACCATTTAGCCTTGTTTTATAGATGGAATCCTTCAGTAATAGCTTGGTTCTTTCTTTCCTTTGATCACTTGAATTTCTAAATTCTTGGGCGTATTTGGTTTCTATTTTAGTCAACGGACACTTCACCCCTCAAGAATTCAAGTTTCTTTTTTCATCAAAAATTGAGTATATATATATTTATTTATTTCTCAGTATGTATTTCTGGGTAATATGAAGTGTATTGAGTGAGAATTAGCTTGTTGTTGTAGTAGATGTATTGGTTAAACTATCAATTTTAGTGCTAAATCTGATTCTCTGGCCATTTCTATTGTTGTTTGTTATGTTTAGCCATTTGTTTATTTTTGGGTACTTGGAACTTTTAACTTGTTTATAAAATACTCTCTTTGGTTTATTTTCTGTCACTAGTTTGCTTTTTTAGATGTGCCATTGATGTGTAAGTAATGGTTTTGTGACATTCATTTCAAAGGTTGTTTCTTGTAGTGATTGATTTATCTTAATCTATTATGGTTTAATAGTAAGGGAGGGTGATAACAGCTGACTATTTGCCAAAAAATTGTGCTCTAGGTAGTAATGTTAATGTCTGCCCTTTTTGTAAAAGTGAAGTTGAATCTAGCAACCATGTTTTGTTATTGTGCTCTAAATCTGAGCTACTAAATTGGTGGGGTTTTTAGTGAGCAACTCCAGATTCACTTGAGGGTGTGCTCCAATGGTGGTCTGGAGTGAAGTAAATTGGAAATGAGTGCTAGATGTGTATATAAATACTGTCATCTTTATTATGGTAAACCAAACATTTTATACTAGTAACAATCAAAGTTATTCATTTTCTATTGATGCAGGAGATGAAGAGTTAGTGTAATGAGAAAATGTCCGATTTTGTCTTTTGTAAGACAAGAACAGTCTCTACAAAAATAGTAAGTTTATTCATATACTTCTAGCGGTTTCTAAATTAATTTGTGTTTTTATTTTTCAGGTCAGAAATTTCTTAGAGCGATGCAAAATATGGTCAAAGAATTCAAGAAATTAGTTTTTTCAAGTTTTTTCATTTTTTAATATATGTAATCACAGTTAAAAACTTTTTATTAATTCTTTTGTATGTACTTTTGAACATTTAACTTTCATTTATGAAATATATGACGTTATTCCATTCAATATATGGTTGTGATTCAAAATATAGTATATAGTGTGTATTACATTCTTCAAATGCGTGTACAAAAATAATATTATCACAGGTTTTATTAATTATTAATCACATTTCAAAGATGTGATCTAAATGTTAACATCACACTTAAAAGGTGTGATCTAAATGTTATTAATCACACTTAAAAGGTGTGATCTAAATATTATTAATGGTGTGATATAAATGTTATTAATCACACTTAGAAGGTGTGATCGAAATATTTTTAATCACACTTAAAAGGTGTGATCTAAATGTTATTAATCACACTTAAAAGGTGTGATCTAAATATTTTTATTCACACTTAAAAGGTATGATCTAAATGTTATTAATCACACTTAAAAGGTGTGACTAAAAATGACTCTTTTTAATCACTCCTAAAGATCACACTTTAATAAAACTTAAAAAGTGATTAAATAACATATATCACACCAAAAAAGTGTGATCTTTATTTGTTTTTGTAGTAGCGGTGTAGGTGATTTTTTTTTTTTTTTCGATGTTGCTTCGGTGCCTATGTTGCTGACGAATTGTGTAGCAATTTACAAGTTAGTTTTATATTTTGTTTGTGATTGGTTCAATGTGTTAGGTTGTGGTTTCATTGTTGGTGGGTGTGTTGGGAAGTATGGAGTTTAATGTGTTAATGTTACGATGCCATTATGGGGGTGTTGTTTGACTGTTGTCACGAGTTATGTTGTTTAATTTTCGATCGATGCGGTGTTAGTAATGCCATTCCTTAACAAGTTCAAGGTTGATTGTGACGAAGATTTGCAAAGTCATTCGGGCTTGATCATATTGTCTCGGGTTTCAATCGTCACCCGTTCTTTAATCAAACTGTACCACAACAACACTTCACAAAAAAACCACCATCACGCATACAAAATTTTACAAACAAAAAACTAAAAAGACCATTACAGGCTATCACGCTACTCACCTCTTGCAATCAATCGTGCACTATTACGTGATGAAAACACAAATTCCAACATATATCTAAATGTCATTCGCCTAATTGACGTACCACTACATCGAACATTTTACCAACATGAATGTGGTTGCAGGTTGCGTTGTTTAATTTTCGGTCGATGCGGTGTTAATAACGATAGCATTACATCACGGTGTGTTATTTTATTCCAGTATATATCTAAATGCCATTCGCCCAATCAACATACCACTACATCAACCATTTTACCAACATGGATGTGGTTGCCATCACACAGTACCTAACAGGGACGTAATTTATTTTACAAAGACACACATCCATAAACGAACCCAACCAAAAGGGGATCCAACCATTTAACAACATAAGGACAAATTAATATACATATTGACAAACCACATGTTTAGGTTAACTTTTTGACTTTTTATAGAAAAATGTGTATTAAAAAATTGTATAAATTAGTGTGTAGGAGTAGGGAAAAATTAGGATTAGGAGTTGTGCAGCTGTAATTTTTGACTTTTGGTGAATAATGATAACTTTTTAACTTTTTGAGTAACTTTTTGATTTTTTGATTTTTTGACAACTTGCCAAACTTGGCCTAAGTAATAACACAAGTAATATACATATTGACAAACCACATGTTTTTCATGTTTCTTTATAATGTGATTAGCAAGTCATGCCCGTGAAAATCTCATCTCACGAAACAGACATGATTGTCCAGAAGGGTCCAAAAGCACCATCCCCAGGAGGGTTTAGAAAAATATCTCCATTTGACAATTAAATTCAATCACCAAATAGTCCACCATCCATAAAATGATTACCCGTTTCATCCTAGTCTAAGTTTCGTGTCAATTAAGTTACTTCCACAAAAACAAATTAATAATTTTTAATTAGTACGAAATTTCTTGAATTTTTGGTGCATCCAATCTTCAACTTTTTCCAACAAACAATTCAATGTCATGCATTGAAATATATGTACCTGGACGGAACCAAGCATAGACTCTGCTTCGCTGAAAATCCTTGTTTACAAGAAAGAAGTCTTTGATGAACGCATGTGGAAAAACAATAAATAGGAAATTTTTTGGGCATTTTTTTATTGCTACAATTTAATCAGTGTCAATTTCTTCTATTGAAATTCATGGATTCCTATTTAGAAAAGGGAAAATTACCAAGAAGTCTCATTTGAAAAACGTGTAATCTATTTAGTCCCAAAACTTTTTATTTGTATCCAAAAATCCAATAACGTTATTCTTCTTCTCTGACTTTCTTCTTCTCTACCTTTCTTCTTTTTCTCTTTGTGATTTCCAGCGATCGTTGACGGGTAACCATATCTTGCTTCTTCTCTTTCTCTTTCTGATATATAGTCATCGGCGACCAACGACTACCATCGATTGGGATTCACCGGCAACCACCGACCGCCGACTCCTTACCTCACCGACGGTAAAGAAGGTATGTTTTCAACGAAGAAGATGAAGAAGATGAGTAGATCTACTTAAATCTGGAGTAGATCTACTCAGATCTGATGTAGTATATCAGATCTGAGTAGATCTACATCAAAGCCGACTAGATCTAAACAAAAAATAGTTGCCGAAGGACAATCATATCTTTATATTCCCTCTCTCCTTCGATCTCTTATTTTTTATATTTTCTCTACTATACACTTCTCTTTTTCTGTTCTAATGGAGAAAATTTTTAAATTCTGAACAAGTAGTTTTTGAGTTTTAGTTACAGGCGGTGAAAACTATAAAATTTTGCAGTTTCAAATTTTTTTTGGTGCTGGAATGAATCATGGTTTAAAACTGTAAAATTTTGCAGTCTCAAATTTTTTTGGTACTGGAATGAATCATGGTATAAAACTGTAAAATTTTACAGTTTCATAACATTCTTTAGAACTGTAAAATTTTACAGTTTCATAACATGTTTTTCAGTTTGATTAATAAGGATAAATGCTTAATAAATTTTTGCTTTGAAACTGTAACATTTTACAGTTTCAAAAATTATTTTTCAGTTTGATTAATATTGGAGATTATTTTCTTAAACTTTACAAAAATTAAAAAATAGCATATGTTTTTCCCATTGTTGCTGTTTTTTGTGGTTTTATTTTTTTTCCTTGTAGTTTATCAATATTTAGCACATTTTACTATGTTTTTTCGCTCTAATTTCTCCATTTATTTTTTTTTCCTGGCAATATTCTAGACATTCCGGTGAGTCTCCAGTGATGTTCTTAACGTCCAGTGAACGTTCTGAACATTCCGGCAACTTCTATTAACGTTCTTAACACTCCGGTGAACTTCCGGCGAAACTCCGGCGACTTCCCGGTGATGTTGAACATTCTGACAAGTCTCCGGCGACTGTTTGACGGAAGTCCGACGGTAATAAGATGTTACAGTGTCTGTAAATTTTTTTTTAAAAAAAAAAAAAAGATTTTTTGGGAACAATTAAAAATGTATAGGACTAATTGGTGCAGTGTTTTGTTTGAGGATTAGCTGGGTCTTGAACTTTGTACATGGGACTTATCAGTAAGTTCCCCTTTAGAAAACAAGAAAACCCATTCTTATTTAAATACTATATATATACACAAACATTGTATTTCTACAATAAAATTCCGGTTCCACCCCTGAATATGTATTACTAATCATATTCATTAGAGTTATTACTGATAGAACTACACAGATTTTGTTGATTTTTACAGTAATGGACTTGTATTTGATCCTCAAAGTCTCACTCACCTTTCTCATAAAAGTTAGAAGATGAGCTGTTTCTGCTGAGTCTGAACTAGCATAAGCAGCGGCATTTGTTGCATAGGTGAAACCGGGCGCCAACGGGTACATCTATGAATATTATGTTTGCAGTCTGAAAAATAATATATATGTACATATATGTCATGATTAATGGACCAAAACATAGTTCAAAAACTGGAAACAAAACCAGTATTTCAAATGTGTACCTTAGTCCATGAGTGTAGGCAGTGTATCAGTTCTGGTATGCCATGGCCAGGGTAACTTAGATTGAATTCTAATGGACCTACAAAATAAACATGCATATATCATGCTCTTTTTTTTTCTTTTTCTTTTTCTATTTTTGCAAGAATCCCAAATATAAGGTCAACTATGCATGAAAATAAAAATAAAAAAATTATAAAAAAAAAGAAAGAAGGTGAAATGAAATGGGTATCCACCAAAAGATTCTCTTAGGGTGTGTTTGTTGGACAAACTGGATAAGGAGGGATTATAATCCATCGGACTATTAGTCCTGAAATACATTGTTCTCAGCCAATTTAGTTGGACTGGATTTATATCCTATATTTGTTCAATCATGGGATTAAATGTCTGGATTAGACTATTTTTAGTGAATCCAATGTTTAGTTAGACGGACTAGATAAGGATAAATGTTCAAAAGGCTATTTTACCCTTATAATTTATAATTTTTATTTAATATATAATTTTAAATTTGTAATCTATAATTTAACAACACTAAAAAAATTTAATTTATGAGGCCATAATTTTTAATTTATTATTTTTAATTAAATTAAATTTATAATTTATATTTTTTATTTAATATATAATTTTAAATTAACAACACTAAAAAAATAATTTATTAATGTTCAAAAGATTATTTTACCATTTTTCAATTGTTTATTAAGTAATAGCATGAGGGTAAAATGAATATTTCACACATTAGTCCCATAAGATACCAATCCCATAGAAATAATCCCATTCATCCTCTTAGGATACAATAATCTCTCATATGAGGGACTAATAATCCGAAGGGACTATTAATCCGAAGCAAAAAAATTGAACCAAATAATAGACTATTAATCCAGATGGAGTAATAGTCCAATGTCATAAAATAATCCCTCAAAACAAATACACTCTTAATGTAATATTATGACCACAAAGTACATTCATGCAAAACAATTAAATAGAAAAGAAAACCTTATTTTAAAAAGTAACATGGGATCACTTGTCTTCAATTTTTTCTATTCACCCCTCTTTTCCCACCACAAGATGCGCCAACAATTAAATAATTATTTTGGTACACGGTGTGGTGAGGTGAGGGTTCAGAATCGACAAATAGTAAAAATAGGAATTAATCATCTCACACCACGTAATGTAATGTTGGCATCATTTTTTTTTTTTTTTTGTTATTGAAAAATCCTCCCTACCCTCTCGTAGATCCAAAACAACGCCCCTTAAAGAGATTATCAGGGTGTCCTATTAGCCGTTCCGAGCAAGGAGACTATAACCTGGGAACTTGTCCCGACCTCCCAAGACAAGCTCCGCTTAAGTCAAGACTCACACAGCGGGAGAGTATTGAACTCACACCAAGTTCTGATTAGACAACTTGAGGTCCAACTTCCTAACCAACTGTGCTTCGCCTAGGAGATTGATCCAGGGGAAAGAGAATTGAACCTGTGACCTGGGGCTTAAATCCCAAACCTTAACCACAACGCCACCCACTCCTGGCATCATTACTTTCATCTTAGATGGGCTCACACCCCCACGATAAATGCAATGCTTCTAACAATCTGTTCTATGTACTTTTCTGGGAAAATTGTGCTTGTTCAACACCTATACATGCACCCTAAGAGTGCAAATTTCTCGCCTATTGAAAAAAAAAAAAACAAAACAAAACAAAACAAAACAGAACATAAGGAGAGAGGGAAATACCAGATTGGTAGAAAAGGCCATTCAAACCGGAACAACCGGGTCCTCCATTCAGATACAGTATGAGCGGGTCGACTCCCGAGTGACCCTATGACGATTCAACAAAGTAGTAGAAAAACTCGATTTCATCAACACTTACATATCTAATTTTTACAAAACAAAACCCCCATTAACCCATTAGTGAACTAAAGTATTAGTCTCATTGAAAGTTTAAGTGAAAAGACTAAAATATCCTTATATATAAGTAATCTCATTGTGCAAATTACAAATATTTTTGTCATTTTATCGAAAGTGAAATTGAATTTAACCCCTTATATGCAATTTACCCTAGCATTTGGAAATAAGCACATAGCACTCTTATTGTTACCGTTTTACACTTGCTACTAATTTAAATAAAATGTTTGACGATACACTTTAGTCCACAAACGACATAAGAGTTATGTGATTATTTTCAAATGATAAGGAGAAAATCACAAAAAAAGTAAAGTGAAGTTTGCCAAAGCTTTTGTATGGAAATTATATGCCGTGACGAATGAGAGTAATTATGCAGTTTTTCAGGAACTATGTTGACTATGTTCATGTCTAATAACAGGCGTTGTGTTTATTGGTCACGCAGACAAACACGTAGCATTTTGGACCAATGTGATAATTTCTACTTGATATTGAATTCAAACAGATAAGAAACACACTTGCCCTGTTTCTAGAGTGAAGGGTAAATCGCCGGAAAAGCCTGGTAAAGTCTTCACAATCCAGCCGGAGAGTGCAGTTCCAGTGAAAGCCAGTAAAATCAACAAATGCAAACACAAGCATTTGCTTGAAAAAGAAGACATTATTGTTTTGCCCCTCAAAAAAAGTTGCTACTTTGATGGCTATACAGATCAAGTTATATGATATCTTCTCTTTACAAATGCATATACCTATTCAGTACTGAAATTGTCTTAACCACAATTCTAACATTGGGGTTGAAAGGTGTTGTTAACTGCAAAAATGTACAGTTGGTTGGTGGGCGGTTTTGGAGAGTGAACCATACCAGAAAGTCATGTCACCAACCTAACATTTTATAATGTGTCAATTCTTGGAATATTTTGAATATATATTATATATGATACTAGGGCATTTTGGGAAGAAGCTAAAAAAAGTTAAATTTTTTTGGCTTTTTAGCTTTTTTTAGTCAAAGAAATCAGTTTTTTTGCCAAAAAAAGTCCCAAAAAAACCAAAAAATTAAAAAGTCAAAAAGTCAACTTTTTACCAACTTTTCAAAACATCACACTGTATACACACGTGGCTTTTTAGATGAAGTCTCTTCAAATAAGATATTTTTGGGAAAACTACAAAAATTAAATAAATAAAATAAAATAATCAGCGTTTGACCTGATAATAATTCAAACCTTAGAATTTTAATTTTGTCAATTTAAGCCCTATACTTTTAAATTCATTTCAATCTTATCCATCCATCAAACTCTGTTACATTGACTAACCAAAAAAAAAAAAAATTAATCATACATCAGATGAGCTCAAATCAAATACAAAATTCACAAAATACCAATTTCATCAGCATCAATGCAAAAATTTAGTCAAATTAAAATAGTCAACTTTTCAAACGAGCCCTTAGTATGTGTAAAAAAATAAAGAGACGATGTGACAACCATCTACTTATTATTATTGTTAGGTATGGGTACATGACAAATTTTAGATTTTAATTTATTTTGGTTTAAAAAAAATCAAATTTTAACACTGTAATTGATAAAATAAAAAATTGATAAAATAAAATTAAAATTTATATTGATAAAATAAAAATTCATAATTTGTTTGACTGATGGCTAGGATTGAAACTATTTCAAAAATATATAATTTAAATTGATAAAATTAAAATTTGAGGTTTTGATTTGTTATTAGGGTTAAACTCTTGGAATTTTTTTTATAATTTTCTCCATTTTTTTTTATTACCATAATTGCAACTCTATTTGGTTTTGTAAAGTTTAGAAATAGTTCCTGAATTTTGAATTTGAATTTTTTTTAAGTGAAATTTTAAAATAATTTGGGCAATTTGTATTTTCAAAAACATTTATCCCCCCCCCCCCACTACTTAGCCTTAAAAATAGAGGATAATTATCATCTAATTAATTGTATTAGGCTTAGAAAATATTGTGTGTACCACTACTTAGCTTGTTTTTATATATTTTTGTCAAAAAGAACAACATCAAAATTAGATAATTAAACTATACAATAAAGACAAGAAAAATCTAAAAGTGGGCCAGTATTATATATCCAGTCTAGATCCAGCTAAAGTTCTTGTTTGGTTCCACCATTCCTTCAATAAGTTGTGTTGTTCAAATGGTGGGTTCACTTGTAAAATTTGAGAAGTTGAAGTCTTCATAGACATAGGACTACAAGGGGGAGAGAGAGAGAGATTTGAATAGTAGTTAAGCACATCTACGATTGTGTGTGTTTTCACTGACAGTGTGTGTGTTCCGGGAGTTTAAAATTAACCCACCAAATAGCAAATGATGGACAACCAACCACTAGCATTTGAAGGGGACGAGAGAAAGAAGAAGAAAAAGAAAAAAAACACATGAAATTTCTCCAAAAACATGAAAATTACATCAAGTACAATAAATCAAAGGCTTTGGGAAGTTTGGCATAGATGTAAATGAGTAATAGTATAATAGACATTATCTATAAAAACAAACACAACAACATACATCTTCTGAACTATTACTATCAGTTGTTCAAAGTTTTCAACATCGTGGTACAAAAAACAAGATCAAACTGGAAGCAGCTAGCAAGTATTTAACTAAACAGGATTATAATTAATCCACCTGTCAAATAAACAATAACATTCCCTGCGATAGTACTCTGGAGCAGGGTGACCCGCGCCCTACATATATACAAAGCATAAATATTAGATTTTGCAAATTGTCTTTAATTTTCAGTTCCATAGCATATATATATATATATATATATATTAAAGAAAGTAACAAAAAGATATTTCTTGCCTTTATGGTTGCAAAAGTCAAGTGATATCCATGCTCCTCTGAATACTTCATCGTGTATCTGCACTAACAAGCACTGTGAATAGAAACGTCGATGGCTTACCAACTTAACAATGTTGCAAATTTTTGAGAAAAAAATAAAGCACCCACCCAGCAACTTGATTATCAACAAACCAAGGCCTCCAATCGTCAACGAGGGTCAAATTGAGAGACTTTATCCATTTTAAGGTACCCATGTAAGGAACAGAGATGTCATGATCACCACTATTGAAAGAGAGAAAAATATTAGTGAGCAAAGTAGGAATAATACTGACTAAAAGCCAGCTTAGCTTGATTATGTTGATAGTAGCAGAGTATTTTAGACTATTAGACCAGAAAAAATCCTCAAACTTGGAAGTTATAGGTATTCTTATAAAATTCACAAGTAATTGATTGGCCTGGGCATGGGCCGGGGGTTCTGGAAATTAGGTCTGAGCTGGCTAGGCTCATGCCAAAACCCAGGTGGGCCAATTTACATGCCTAGTCTAGTGATGAAGATCATGGAAAGAAGAAAAAGAACAAATCTAAAATTTCACATGAAGTGCATTATAGTAGGTTTTAGTAATTAAGGATATAATATCCAATAATTATTGGATATGGGTTGTAGGAGTCGCCCATGGGTTTTATTATTTTGGGTCAAGTTATTAAATGGGTCATTATATATGAGTTTTATTATGGAAGTGTTTGACAAAGGCTATTTTTTGGTTTTTTAGGTTAAAATTCACAAAAAGACAAAATAAGCTAAAATAGTCAATAAGACAAAATGTCGCATCAAATTCATAATTATTTCATTTTTTCTCTCACAAACATCACATCCAATTATAAAAAATTCAATTATCTTCCTAAACACACAAATTTTAGCCTACAGAAATAGTCAAAAACTAAAATAGCCTACTAAAATAGCAAATTTCCAAACACCCACTATGTCTAAAATAATCTAGGTGGTCAAAAGTCCAAATTTTCTATTTTTATATTGAAGTAGAATTAGAAGTCATTAAAATTTTATATTATGATTAAAGTAGAATTGGAAGTCATAGTTGGTCTAGAATATTAATAGTTGCTAAATATTTTTAGTTTTTAGTTGCTAAATAATTAGTAGTTGCTAAATAGTTGGTCTGGGCAAGGGGACTCAACTGTTTGGAATGTGCTTTTGTGCCGCGATGTACAGGATTGAGAGCAAGATCAACTGGTGGAGCTGTTGGGTTTTTTATATGAGTTGCGAGTTGAAGGGGCTGGGCAGGATTCTTTGGTGTGGGATCAAGGTTTTAAAAAGCGGTCGCAACCATTACGTAACGCCGCTACGTAACAGTTTTGGCAGTTACCGCCACCCGTTACGGCCGCTTTTGCAGTGTGATTGAGATTCACAGGTGTGTCGGCCGTAGCGGCTACCGTAGTGGTCGTAACGGTGCCGTAATAGCCGTAACGGCCTGTTACGCATCGTTACGTAACGGTTCTAAACTGTAAAACACAAAAAAGCGCTGAAAATGGGGGAAGAGGGATAGGGAGAAGAGGGAAGATAAAGAGAGAAAATAGAGAAGCAAGAGATAGAGAGAGAGAGAGAAGAGGGAAGATGAAGAACATGTTATTGATTTGTTGAAACTATAAGACTTATGCTATTCTATTCAGCTGCTATCACTAAACCATTTTGTTTGTGTGTGTCTATCTATATATTGTTTAAAAATAATAATAATAATAAATGTGGTCATTATCTATTTGGCTTGGTTAAAATATGTATATATATATATATTTAGACTCTTATTTCTTCTCTTACTTTTGTCATTATTTATCTTATATATAATAATTAGTGATTAATTTTTTGTAAAATATAAAGTCATTAATTATTAAAATAAAATATAAAAAACTCAGTTTATAGTGATTTAAAAATATGAAATATATTACATCATACTTAAAAATTTACAAAAATTGATCAATATTTATTTTCAACCCAATAAATATGATCATGGAAAAAAAAAATATGCGTATCGGTAAGTTTTTTTCAAATTGTGCGAAAAATAAAAAAAAAATTCACGCTTCCGGTTACCGCAACCTTTGCACTACGGCCTTTACACTCCGCAACCGCAACCGCAACCGCGTCACCGCCACCGTTACAGCGACCGCAACCGCTTTTTAGAACCTTGTGTGAGATTGTCCTGGGACTAAGGGAAAGTTTTCTATATCTTCGTATTATGGTGTGCTTGTTCATGAGGAAGCAGTTGTTTTCCCTTGGAAATGTGTTTGGGTGTCGGATATGCCATCCAAGGTAGCCTTTTTTGTGTGGACAGCCATGTTGGGGCATATCTTGACTTTGGATAATTTAATTCGTCGTGGCCACATATTCGTCAATTGGTGTTGCTTATTTTGTGGTGATGCGGAGTCAGTGGATCATTTACTGGTTCATTATCCGGTTACTTCTCAACTTTAGATGCTTCTTGTTGCGACTTTGGGCTTAGCTTGGGTGCAGCCGGATTCAATTAAGATAGTTTTGCAAAGTTGGATTGGGGGTCGAGTTGGGAGAAGGCGTCGGAAGCGTGGATGCTTGCTTCTCATTGTCTTGAATGGTTGGTTTGGTTGGAGCGTAATAAGCGTGTTTTCCAGGAAATGTCTCATTCGGTTCCTTGGTTAGAACGACGGCTACTTACGATTTTGTATAGTTGGGTGACAAGTTCAGTTGATCCTGATGTTTTGGCCTTTGTAGATTTTGTGAAGGATTTGATTTGTTAATTTGTTAAGCCTTTGTGACTTCTATTTTTGTATTCTTTGCATCATCTTGATACTTTTCTAATAAAGTGTGGTTATTTATCAAAAAAAAAAAATTTGATACTCTTGTTTCTTGCAATTATATCTTTATTTTTTATGTAATTGTATAGTATATTTGGTCAACAGAATTATGAATATTTATCACAAGAACAATGTAGTGAATCTCTGTGGGATGGCTCGAATGGTAAGTCCCCAAGTAAAAAAAGAATGAAAAAAATTAT